CCATTAGTCCTTTGGACTAATCTTTCCCTTGTGTCTCTGGTTTTCTTCATTCTCCCTTGCTCTGGATGGAGTGGGACCAGTGGAATATCTTAGATGGCCACTCACAAGCTTTTAAGATCTGAGATGCTACTCACCGAAGTAGGATGTAGAACATTATCTTTATAAACTATATTATGCCAGTTGAGCTAGATGTCCCCCAAGACCATGGTCCCCAGCCCTCAGCCTAGTAATTTGGTCCCTCAGGGAGTTTGGATGTATCTATGAAGCATCCATGACCTTGCCTTGTACAGGTTGTGCTGGTTTCCCCAGCATCATGTACTGTCATACCCTTCACCAGAGTTACCACTTATCTATTGTCTAGTAGATATTTTTCCCTCCCCATCCCTCCCGTCCCTAGTAACCATCAAAGATTGTTTCTTTTTGTGTGTAAACCTTTTCATGGGTTTTTATGATACTGGTCTCATACAGTATCTGTCCTTTTGTGATCAACTTATTTCACTCGGCCTAATGCCCTCCAAATTCATCCATGTTGTGAGATGTTTCTCAGATTCATCATTGCTCTTTATTGTTGCGTAGTATTCCATTGTATGTATGTACCATAGTTTGTTTATCCACTCATCTGCTGATGGGCACTTAGGTGTTTCCATCTTTTTGCTATTGTGAATAATGCTTCAGTGAACATGGGTGTGCATATGTTGGCTTTTATTTCTCTAGAATATATTCCTATGGGTGGGATTGCTGGATCATATGGTATTTCTAGCTTTTTAAGGAAGTGCCATATCGTTTTCCAAAATGGGTGTCCCATTTTACATTCCCACTAGCAGTACATAAGAGTTCCAATCTCCCGGCAGCCTCTCCAACTTTGTTATTTTCTGTTTTTTTGATTCATACCGGTAATGTCAGGGCGAGATAGTATCTCATTGTGGTTTTGATTTGCATTTCTCTAACGGCTAGTGATCTTGAGCATTTCTTCATGTGTCTGTTAGCTGCCTGAAAGTCTTCTTTGTGAAGTGTCTGTTCATATCCTTTGCCTATTTTTTAATTGAATTATTTATCTTTTGTTGTAGAAGTGTTGGATTTTCCTATAGATTTCGGAGATTAGACCTTTGTCGGATTTCTCATAGCCAAAAATTTTTTCCCAGTCTGTAGGTTCTCTTTTTACCCTTTGATGAAGTCTTTTGATGAGCCTAACTGTTTAATTTTTAGAAGATTCCAGTTATCTAGGTTATCTTCTGGTGTTTGTGTATTGTTAGTTATGGTTAATACGCTATTTATGCTGTGTGTTAGGGCCTCTAGCAATGACCCTGTTTTTTCTTCTATCATCTTTATAGTTTTTAGTTTTATATTTAGGACTTTGATCCATTTTGAATTAGTTTTTATGTATGCTATGAGGTAAGGGTCCTGTCATTTTTTTTACAGATGGACAGCCAGTTTTGCCAGTACCATTTGTTAAAAAGACTGTCTTTTCCCCATTTGATGGACCTGGGCCTTTGTCGAAGATCAGGTGACCATAGGTAGATGGATTTACATCTGGGTTCTCGATTCTGTTCCATTGGTCAATGTGTCTGTTGTTGTACCAGTACCAGGCTGTTTTGACTACTGTAGCTGTATAGTACATTCTGAGGTTAGGTAGTGTGAATCCTGCTACTTTATTCTTTTTCTTCAACAGTGCTTTACTTATCTGGGGCATCTTTCCTTTCCATATAAAGTTAATGATTGGTTTCTCCATCTCATTAAAGAATGCTTTTGGTATTTGGATCAGGATTGCATTGTATTTATAGATTGCTTTGGGTAGAATTAACATTTTCACAATGTTGAGTCTACCTATCCGTGAGCATGGTATGTTTTTCCATTTATGTAGGTCTCTTTTGGTTTCTTGCTGTAGTATTTTGTAGTTTTCTTTGTATAGGTCTTTTACATCCCTAGTTAGATTTATTCCTAAGTATTTTATTGGGGGGGCCTATTATAAATGATAATGCTTTCCTGATTTCCTTTTTGCAGTTCTCTTTATTGGTGTATAGGAATCCAACTGATTTTGTATGTTTATCTTGTATCCTGCTATTCTGCTGAATCTTTCTGTCAGTTCAGTAGTTTTCTCGTGGAGTCCTTTGGGTTTTCTATGTATAGTATCATATCATCCACAAATAGGAATAGTTTTACTTCTTCCTTACCCATTTGGATGCCCTTTATTT